ACATGTATTGTTAAGAAGTGCATTCAGTTTTCTTTGTCCTTTTGTTGATCAAGGTCTTAGTGGTGGCCATGTATATTTGAATATGTTTTTAGTTATTAACCCTTCTTCACGTTATAGTTATTTTGGTCATTTTACTGATGCTTAATGGGGAAGAATCAATTTCACTAGGGATAAAAGTCAGAAGAACAGAAATTGTGAGTTCCTTTGTGAAGATCCAAGGACCTTCGAGGACTCCTGAAGAGCCAAGAATAATCATTCCTATTTTTCATCTCCAATGGAAAAGAGAGCGCATTATACCTTTCTAGCCTATTCTGGAATAAATAATTAAATTTTAGTGTAAACTAACAAAGGAAACACTGCAAGTTAATGAAATGTAGTCTCTACAATTTGTTAGACTTTTTATTTTTTATTTTTATTTTTAGTTAGACTTTGTTTTTGAGAAGGAGTTCGCTCTGTTGCCCAGTCTGGGGGTGCAATGGCTTGATCTCCACTCACTGCCAACCCTGCCTCCAGGTTCTAGTGAGTCGTTCCCTGGGCCTGTCAGCCCTTGCCCTAAGCGAGAGATAGGACAGTCACCGCCGCCCGGATATTTGTTGCGTACAGATCATCGCGCGCTCTCTTCGCCATGGTCTGGCCAGAGCTGGCTCCCAACCCTGCTGTAGGTGAGAAGCACCTCGGCACTCTCGCAAAGGTGGAGACTGGGAATAGAGCAGACTTGGGAGGCTCACCGTGCGCAGGGCCGCTCACATGCCTAATTTTGGTGTATGTTTAGTAGAAGGAGAAGATTTTAGTGTTTAGATAGAGACTAGGGTTGATCCTCCCAAGTTGATTGGACGGACTCGCGCTCGTGTCGACCTCCGCGTACTGCGTCAAGGTGACTATCCACTGGCTCGGCCCTCTCGCTATATAACCTGCTGTGCAAAGTATCTAAGTGCTCATGATTTGTCTCACGTCGCGCCATGCCGTCCTTAATTGTTACTTAAATTGTCACTAAGCTAAGCCGCATGGCAGGTCGCCACGTAGGACTCCTGGTGGCCTGTAACTCCAGACAATTTCAGTAGAGGCCGCGAGGCAGAGTGTGGAATGCATCTGGAAGGATCCTGGGAGCTATAAGTGCCAGAACCTCGAGACAGACATGTCAGCAGTGGGGATCCGCTGGGTCCTCTTTACTAAAAAAATATACATATGTATATACAAAATTAGCCGGTATGGTGGCACATGCCTGTAATCCCAGCTACTCAGGGGGCTGAGGCAGAGAATTGCTTGAACCTGGAGGCCGAGGTTTCAGTGAGCCATCACACATTGCCTGTGTAAGCCTGGGCCACAAGAGAGAAACTCATCTCAAGGAAAAAAAAATAAAAGAAAGAAAGAAAAGAAAAGAAAAAAGAAATTGGCCAGGCACGGTGGCTCAAGCCTGTAATCCCAGCACTTTGGGAGGCTGAGGCGGCGGATCACGTCAGGAGATCGAGACTATCCTGGCTAACACGGTGAAACCCTGTCTCTACTAAAAATACAAAAAAATTTAGCCAGTCGTGCTGGCAGGCACCTGTAGTCCCAGCTACTCTGGAGGCTGAGGCAGGAGAATGGCGTGAACCCAGGACACGGAGCTTGCAGGGAGCCGAGAATGCGCCACTGCACTCAACCTGGGTGACAGAGCGAAACTCCGCCTCCAAAAAAAAAAAAAAATTACAGGGGGCAAGGTGGCTTATGCTTGTCATGTAGTCAGCACTTTGAGAGGCCGAGGCAGGTGGATCATGAGATCAGGATCAAGACCAGCCTGACCAACATGATGAAACCCTGCTCTACTAAAAAATACAAAAATCAGTTGGGCGTGGTGGCACACAACTGTAATCCCAGCTACTTGGGAAGCTGAGGCAGTAGAATTACTTGAACCTGGGGCAGAGGTTGCAGTTAGTCGAGATTGCACCCCTGCGCTCCAGTCCAGGCAACAGAGCGAGACTCTGTCTCAAAAAAAAAAAAAAAAAAAAGTAACCAAGGCAGAGCACCGAGAGGAGAGGTTTGGGAGGATGTTTAGTGAAGTAATCCATATTTTCTGATGATAAATTGGCACCCAGTCAATTTATTCATCAGAAAGGAATACATCGGCCTGGTGTGGTGACTCGTCCCCTGTCCCTGTCATCATCACCAGCAGCGCGGAGCCTTGAGCCAGAAACCTCCAGGGGGCCTAAGTCAGGGGGTGGGTCCCCCGCTGCAGAAGGGTGGAACAGTCGCTCAGTGCCACCCCAGAGGTTGCACTGTGCCCAGCGCCAGGGTCCAGCTCCTGGATCGCAGGTCGAGGAGGGGCCGGGAGTGGCTATGTCAGGCGGGCTTGTGTGGTATGGCGCCGCCCATGTTCCACGGGTGGCTCACTGCAACCTCCGCCTTCTGGGTCCAAGCTATTTTCCTGCGGTCGGTTCCCGCCTCCCTGCAGTCAGGGACCCACCCCCTGATTTAGGCGCCCCAGAGGCTTCTGGCCCAAGGATCCGCGCTGCTGGTGAGCTGACAGTGTCAGGGTTGCAGCCCCTGCTGTGCGTGCCATGTTCAGGTAGGAGCTGTACCTGAGTCCATGGTGGAGGCTAATTTTGTATTTTTTTTTTAGTAAAGACGGGGTTTCTCCATGTTGGTCAGGCGGGTCTGGAACTCCTAGGCCAGGCGATCTGCCCAGGATCGCACAGTCCTGATCCCAGGACAGATGCCTGAGCCTAGGAGTTCCAGAACTGCCTGAACAACATGGAGAAATCTCATCTCTACTAAAAAAAAAATACAAAATTAGCCGGGATGGTGGCACATTCCTGTAATCCCAGCTACTAGGAGGCTGAAA